CGCCTCTGAAAATACATGTTGTAGAGAAAAGAGATGGAGGGAGAAAAGAGATGGAAGGGAGAAAAGAGAAAGGAGATGGACTGCCTCTGAGGAGAGGTTGTGTGGCACACTGACTTGATTAATAAAGTAGAGGCTAAAGACACAAAATCCACTGAAACCTTGGACCAAAAATAAAAGACAGTTCACACTTTTGTGCACATAACTCCTCCAGTTTCAGCTCTTGCTTGTTTCCATGGCAATCGAAGACATGTGCCTGTGGATAGGCTTGTGTGCTACATGTGTCCCTCCTGATCGTTTGCGGAGCGCATGCGAGTCTATGTGAAAACCACCGGAGACAGACTCCCCCATCTCTCTGTGTTGCCATAGTCAGTCAAGCACACGTGTTTCACTAAGGTGTTCGACAGACACTGCATTTTTACAACGTGATGAAATTTTGCATTGCTGGAAAAAGGTGTTGGTTGCCAAGGCAACATTCCCCTTTCTGCAGCAGCAGCAGCACCCGCAGTCTGGAGCATTTTTAAAAATAATGGTGACCGCGGTAAATAACCGCCATCCAAAATTACATGACCAGTGTTGTGTGTTACCAATGGAGGGCGCCAGTGGTCTGGGTATCTTTCATTACAAGGAAAAAGATACTGAAGATACAGTAGTAGCCTGGATGAAGCAGTGATTTAGGGCTACTAAGGATAAATATCTAGCTTCTGTGAATTTTGAAGTGAAATAAACAAAGATAGTTGCCACCTCAGAATGACCTTGTAAAAGTATTCAGACCCCTTGCATTTCTTCACATATTCTGTTAGAAAGTGGGATTAAAATGGATTTAATTGTCATGTTTTTGTCAACAATCTACACAAAATACTCTGTAATGTCAAAGTGGAAGAAAAATGATTAATGAAACAAATATATTAATACAAAAAAGATGTAGCCGTTGCACAAGTATTCAGCTCCCTGAGTCCACCATACATGTTAGAAACACATTTGGCGGTAATTACATCTGTGAGCCTTTTGGGTAAGTCTCTAAGAGCTTTGCACACCTGGATTGTGCAATATTTGCCTATTAATCTTTTTAAAACTCTTCAAGCTCTGTCAAGATGTTGGGGATCATAGCTAGACAGCAATTTTCAAGTCTTGCCATAGTATTTCAAGCAGATTTTAAGTCAAAACTGTAACTTAGGAACATTAACTGTCTTCTTGGTAAGTAACTCCAGTATATATTTGGCCTTGTGTTGTAGGTTATTGTCCTGCTGAAAGGTGAATTCCCCTCCCAGTGTCTGGTGTAAAGCAGACTGAAACATGTTTTGCTCAAGGATTTTTCCTGTGCTTAGCCCTATCCAATTTATTTTTATCCTGAAAAACTCCCCAGCATACCCATACCATGATGCAGCCACCACCATGCTTGAAATAAGGAGGCAGTTAGTCAGTGATGTGTTGTATTGTATTTGCCCCAAACATACGGCTTTGCAGTATTACTTTAGTGCCTTGTTGCATACAAGGACTAGTATGAAAAAGGTTGAAAATGTTTGCGCACTCTACTGTAAGTCGCTCTGGATAAGAGTGTCTGCTAAATTACGCAAATGTAAATGGAATACTTGTTATATTTGTGTTCTTTTCACTGTCATTTAGTTCATTATTGTTGATCCATCCTCAGTTCTCTCCCATCACAGCCATTGAACTCTGTAGCTGTTTTAAAATCATCAACGGCCTCATGGTAACATCCCTGAGCAGTTTTATTCATGTCCTGCAGCTCAGTTCAGAAGGATGACTGTATCTTTGTGTCTGGGTGGTTTAATACATCATCCACAGCATAATTATTAACTTGATCATGCTTAAAGATATATTCAATGTCTGATTTGTTATTGTTACCCATCTACCAACCACTGCCATTTTTTATGAGGCTTTCGAAAATCTCCCTGGTCTTTGTAATTGAATCTGTGCTTGAAATTCAATACTTGACTGAGGGACCTTACAAATGTATGTATGAGGGACAGAGGAAGGGTTAGTCATTAAACAATCATGTCAACCCCCATGTAACTTTTTATGTGATTTGTTATGCCAAATGTTACTCCTGAACTAATTTAGGCTTGGCTAAACAAAGGGACTGAATACTTATGCAACGACTACATATACAGTACCAGTCAAAAGTTTGGACACCTTCTCATTCAAGGGTTTTTCTTTATTTTTACTATTTTCTACATTGTAGAATAACAGTGAAGACATCAAAACCATGAAATAACACATATATAATAATGTAGTAACCAAAAGTGTTAAACAAATCCAAATATATTTTAGATTCTTCAAAGTAGCCACCCTTTGCCTTGATGACAGTGTAGTGTCGAGTTAATGTTGCTAATTATGCTCTGAAACAAAGGAGTCCGCTTATACTGAGCTTTGATCATAAGTTTTATTCATATCACAAGATGACAGAGTCCCAAAAGAATAAGTCTGTTCTAATGTTCTTTGTCTCTAGCCCATACTTATAATCTTTACAAAAATATGGGTGGCTCCCTCTACTGTCCAATCACCTGTCTCCAACAAACAGACTCCCTCTGTTCTATGGGGTGTCACTCTAAAACGGCTCCCTCTGAAACTGAATAAACATCCTCTCAGGTTCCACTTGAAAACATTAGCAAAGTCATAATTCATCATACACTACAACAGCTTTGCACACTCTTGGCATTCTCTTAACCAGCTTTACCTGGAATGCTTTTCCAACAGTCTTGAAGGAGTTCCCACATATGCTGAGCACTTGTTGGCTGCTTTTCCTTCACTCTGCAGACCAACTCATCCCAAACAATCTCAATTGGGTTGAGGTCGGGTGATTGTGGAGGCCAGGTCGTCTGATGTAGCACTCCATCACTCTCCTTCTTGGTCAAATAGCCCTTACACAGCCTGGAGGTGTGTTGGGTCATTGTCCTGTTGAAAAACAAATGATAGTCCCACTAAGTGCAAACCACATGGGATGGCGTATCATTGCAGAATGGTGTGGTAGCCATGATTGTTAAGTGTGCCTTGAATTCTAAATAAATCACAGACAGTGTCACCAGCAAAGCACCTCCTCCTCCATGCTTCACGGTGGGAACTACACATGCGGAGATCATCCGTTCACCTACTCTCCGTCTCACAAAGATATGGCGGTTGGAACCAAAAATCTCAAATTTGGACTCATCAGTAAAAATAAAGAAAATGGAATGAGTAGGTGTCCAAACTTTTGACTGGTACTGTCTGTATATATATATATATATATTTTTTATTATCTACAAAAAACCTTTTCTTTATCTACAAAAAACCTTTTCTTTATTTTTCACTTTGACATTACAGAATATTTTGTGTATATTGTTGACAAAAAAAAAAGACCATTAAATCAATTTTAATCCCACTTTGCAACAATAAAATGTGAAGAAATCCAAGGGGGCTGAATACTTTTGCAAGGCACCGTAAGCCCAAAAGACACAAACGAAGTTACATTCTAAGAGGGTGTGAGCATTTAATTAATCCATGACATTATTTATTATATTACCTCACTGAGGACTTCCGTGATAATTCAGATGAGACATCCCACAAAAGGAATTTACCGCAAATATTTTAAAATAACAGGACCATGTGAAACCATTCACAACGCTACCACATACAGTACTCACATCTGCTCGTTGGGTATCAGATATTTCTTAGTCTTAACAGGTAAGACCGCTGACAAATCACTTTGAAAGACAATTGTTTTTGGGGCAGTTGACTTACAGCATGTCATCAATTAATAAAAAATAAAAAATAGATTTCTGGTCATTCATTGGCTGTGTTCTAGAACATCAAATCTGCAATGTGGGTAAATTGCGACTGACTCATCTACAAATATACTGAACAAAAATATAAACACAACAATTTCAAAGATTGAGTTACAGCTCATATAAGAAAATCAGTCAATTGAAATAAATTAATTAGGCCCTAAATCTATGGATTTCACATGACTGGGAATACAGATATGCACCGGTTGGTCACACATACCTTAAAAAAAGGTAGGGGCATGAGTCAGTATCTGGTGTGACCACCATTTGCCTCATGAAGCGCAACATCTCCTTCGCATAGAGTTGATCCGGCTGTTGATTTTGGCCAGTGGAATGTTGTCCCACTCCTCTCAAAGGCTGTGCGAAGTTGCTGGATATTGGCAGGAACTGGAACACGCTGTCATGCACATCAATCCAGAGCATCCCAAACATGCTCAATGGGTGACATGTCTGGTGAGTATGCAGGCCATGGAAGAACTGGGACATTCAGCTTCCAGGAATTGTGTACAGATCCTTGCGACATGAGGCCGTGCTGAAACATGAGGTGATGGTAGCTGATGAATGGCACGGCAATGGGCCTCAGGATCTCACCACGGTATCTCTGTGCATTCAAATTGCCATCGACAAAATGCAATGTGTTCGTTGTCTGTAGCCCATACCATAACCCCACCATGGGTCACTCTGTTCACATCAGCAAACCGCTCGCCCACTCGTGGTCTACGGTTGAGGCCGGTTGGACGTACTGCCAAATTCTCTAAAAACATTGAGAAATGAACATTCAATGCTTTGGCAAAAACTCTGGTGGACATTCCTGCAGTCAGCATGCCAATTGCATGCTCCCGCAAATCTTGAGACATCTGTGGCATTTTGTTGTGACACAAAACTGAACATTTTAGAGTGGCCTTTTATTGTCCCCAGCACAAGGTGCACCTGTATAATGATCATGCTGTTTAATTAGCTTCTTGATATGCAACACCTGTCAGGTGGATGGATCATCTTGGCAAAGGAGAAATGCTCACTAACAGGGATGTAAACAAATGTGTGCAAAATTTGAGCTAAATAAGAGTTTTGTGCATATGGAACATTTCTGGGATCTTTTATTTCAGTTCATGAAACATGGGACCAACACTTTACATTTTTAGTTTATATTTTTGTTCAGTGTAATAATGAGTAGTTAGGTGATGCAGTCGAAGTTGTTATTCACTCTTCAGTCCCAGACATCTTCTTCTGATAGAGGACCAGATCCTTCACCTCACTGGTCAGGGAGACCAGCTCCTTCCGGATGGCCTCTGCCTCATCCCCGTCCTCTGGGTTCTCTCCCTCCCCCTGCTTTTGCTTCTTGCCCTGGCTCTGGCTCACCAGCTGCTTAACCACCAAGGCCTGGTAGCCTGTCAGCAGCCTGTGCTGCTCCTGGAACAACAACAACCACAATCATCCACAACCTTCAGCTTGAAGTAAAACTGTCAATTGTAACAGGTCCAAATTTGAGAGCTGCATGAAAAAAATACCACCATACAACAGTGTATCTCATAGACCCCAAAACATCCCAATTACTTACAAGGTGACAAAGATACATACAGTGGGGGAAAAAAAGTATTTAGTCAGCCACCAATTGTGCAAGTTCTCCCACTTAAAAAGATGAGAGAGGCCTGTAATTTTCATCATAGGTACACGTCAACTATGACAGACAAAATGAGAATTTTCTCTCTCCAGAAAATCACATTGTAGGATTTTTTATGAATTTATTGGCAAATTATGGTGGAAAATAAGTATTTGGTCAATAACAAAAGTTTCTCAATACTTTGTTATATACCCTTTGTTGGCAATGACACAGGTCAAACGTTTTCTGTAAGTCTTCACAAGGTTGTCACACACTGTTGCTGGTATTTTGGCCCATTCCTCCATGCAGATCTCCTCTAGAGCAGTGATGTTTTGGGGCTGTCGCTGGGCAACACGGACTTTCAACTCCCTCCAAAGATTTTCTATGGGGTTGAGATCTGGAGACTGGCTAGGCCACTCCAGGACCTTGAAATGCTTCTTACGAAGCCACTCCTTCGTTGCCCGGGCGGTGTGTTTGGGATCATTGTCATGCTGAAAGACCCAGCCACGTTTCATCTTCAATGCCCTTGCTGATGGAAGGAGGTTTTCACTCAAAATCTCACAATACATGGCCCCATTCATTCTTTCCTTGACACGGATCAGTCGTCCTGGTCCCTTTGCAGAAAAACAGCCCCAAAGCATAATGTTTCCACCCCCATGCTTCACAGTAGGTATGGTGTTCTTTGGATGCAACTCAGCATTCTTTGTCCTCCAAACACGACGAGTTGAGTTTTTACCAAAAAGTTATATTTTGGTTTCATCTCACATTCTCCCAATCCTCTTCTGGATCATCCAAATGCACTCTAGCAAACTTCAGACGGGCCTGGACATGTACTGGCTTAAGCAGGGGGACACGTCTGGCACTGCAGGATTTGAGTCCCTGGCGGCGTAGTGTGTTACTGATGGTAGGCTTTGTTACTTTGGTCCCAGCTCTCTGCAGGTCATTCACTAGGTCCCCCCGTGTGGTTCTGGGATTTTTGCTCACCGTTCTTGTGATCATTTTGACCCCACGGGGTGAGATCTTGCGTGGAGCCCCAGATCGAGGGAGATTATCAGTGGTCTTGTATGTCTTCCATTTCCTAATAATTGCTCCCACAGTTGATTTCTTCAAACCAAGCTGCTTACCTATTGCAGATTCAGTCTTCCCAGCCTGGTGCAGGTCTACAATTTTGTTTCTGGTGTCCTTTGACAGCTCTTTGGTCTTGGCCATAGTGGAGTTTGGAGTGTGACTGTTTGAGGTTGTGGACAGGTGTCTTTTATACTGATAACAAGTTCAAACAGGTGCCATTAATACAGGTAAACGAGTGGAGGACAGAGGAGCCTCTTAAAGAAGAAGTTACAGGTCTGTGAGAGCCAGAAATCTTGCTTGTTTGTAGGTGACCAAATACTTATTTTCCACCATAATTTGCAAATAAATTCATTAAAAATGTGATTTTCTGGAATCTTTTTCCTCAATTTGTCTGTCATAGTTGACGTGTACCTATGATGAAAATTACAGGCCTCTAATCTTTTTAAGTGGGAGAACTTGCACAATTGGTGGCTGACTAAATACTTTTTTCCCCCACTGTAACTATTTATAGTGTAATAACACTAGCAATATAGGTAGATTATAAATGAGAACCAGGAGGAGAGGGGGCAGTACCTCAGAGATGCGGCCCACCAGAGTGCCTATGATCTGGGGGACACAGCGGCCGGGGACGTGCAGCATGCAGTGGGTGCTGGCCTGGAAGAGCAGCACGCTGGTCAGGTGGAGAATCAGGGCTGGGTCCTCTGTGTCCTTCAGCTGCTCTATCAGAGCCTGCCGGTGCAGGAACAGGGCCTGTCTAGTGGACAACAACAACACACACACACACACACACACACCTGTCAGCCAAGAATGTGAGGCACCTCCAGTCCAGGTCCATGTTTATGGACAGCAGATGAAATGCTGAAAGTCTAAAGCAGGATGATAAATGGTTTTACCTCTCTCTTTTCTTATCTCCCTTCTTCAGCAAGAATCCACAAACCTCAACCGCGGTTTCTATATTAGTTAAAAAATCTTCAATCGTCTGAAGAAAAGATCAATAGTGTCAGAAATCCTTTCCATACATACATGAATCAGAACAATCTCAAACATTTGTGCTTACTACTAACATCTGCAATAATCATGTAAACCTCCAACTACTAAATGAACATAACTGACCTTTCCATTCAGACTGTTGTGCACCTTCATAAGAGGCCCTTTGGTTTCCTCTGGTAACTTTCCTAATATCTTCACTCTCACCTAAAGACAGAGATACACCATGATTTATGGGAATGTACAGTACATTCACAAAGCCTAACTGAATAACCCAACCCAAACTAACAGGACTGAACGGGTATGGAATGAGAAGGCCGAGAGGAGAACTAACCTCGTTGGTGATCGAGCTGGGATTCTCTGCTGACATCATGAGTTCAGCTGCCATGAAATTCACCAGGATGTTGGTGACGTCTGTGCACACCGTCTTCAGGACGTGCTTGGCAATGAGGACCTGGGTCTCATCTGCAGGGGGTCAAATATCTCAGTTGATGTTTATTCTGCGATAGTATATTTTATGTTTTGGTGGTGAGGACCACCTCTACATCTGAGGGGGTAAAATAAAGCAGTTTACCAGAGAAGTGCTTGGTCCCCTTCTCAAAGAGCCTAATGTTGTTGTACAGGTTGGAGAGCTCCTCCTGGAAGTCTTTCACACTTCTCTTCTTGGTCACCCCGGTCGTGGAGCTAGTGGAGGACATGAACACAGTCCGAACCACATCCTGGTAGGTCTTTGTCAAAGGCCTGCAGACAGCACAAGACTCTTACATGTTAAAATCAATACATTGATGCACAATGTTTATTTTGTGTGTTGAGTGTGGGGGTAAATCCATTGTGCTTGACAGTGATTTGGACAGGAACCCTTACCTTACTAAATGTTCTGCCAACTCTGAGAGGATTTCTTCAGGGCAGTCGCACACTCGCCCTTCTAGGACAGCTGCTATTTCCTCCAGCGCCATGAACGGGACTTCAGTCGGTTTGTTACGATCTGCAAAAGAGTAAAAATAAAATATAATTGGTCTCATGGGGTTATCTTTGTCTTACACCAACAGACTTAAGCACCCAGGGGAGCCATCTCTTCAAACACAACCGTTAACATGTTGTTACATAGAACTGCCTCACTGAACAAACAATGTAATACTGTACATTAATTGAAATAAGGTTTTAATGTGCGACAGTGAATTCAGTGTGGAACAGAGGCTACATAATGACCGTAGTCATACTGTATGTGAAAAGAAAATGTATTAGAAGGTATTTGGTTGATTTGTTATTGAATAGAAATGTATAGAAATTGTATAGAAATGCTTATAATGGTAATTGGAAACACCCTTATTGTTATGACACCTAGTGGCTTATTGTGGGTTTACCTGTAGAGAAGCATATAAAGGGGGTTATGGGGAAAGATGGCGTCAGGAACAATAATTAGGACAGGTGTGCAGCCCATAGAGAATGATAGAGGACTCTAGTGGCCAAAAGGCCGTTTTAGCATGGGCAGCGCCATTGAGGGCTTCCACCATTTTAATGTAGTCAATTGGGTGGGACTTCCAACTTTATTGGCTGATCCCTTCTGTGACCCTGTTGGAGTCATGTCCAACCGGGTCATCAGGAGGGATCAGCCAATCGTGAAGAACATTTACTATTTCAAAATGGAGACTGCCTCAAAAGGTGCTGCCCGTGCGCACAGATGCCATAATGGAAACTAATATAGGCTTTTTTTTTTTTGCATTCTCCATGGTGCAGCCTTATAGGAATAGGAAGACTTCATATAGCAAACGTTTTTACAGTTTCATTTAGACATTTCTTTGGGACTATTTTACTTTACCATTCATCAACCTTGGAATCTGTGTGGCAACTCTGGACAATGTCATTGTGAGTAATACATTATAATAATAATAATAATTTAACTGCAATCAAGAACTCAAGTATCATCTATGGAAACGCATATAACCAAGTCTGTATTTGGCGTCTAAGGATGAACTCTAGGAACCTTAGCTACTACATTAGTAAAATACTTTCTAGATCGAATGGAAATATGGACAATCCAACAAAAGAACGTTCATCTGAAAATGTTTGCGCTGCATTGAATCGAATTGGAAGTTTGCTGAACAATGGAATGCTGTGCTCGGATCGCCGTGGTGAGGCTTCATGGCAAGTATTAAATGCACAGCATATTGATCAATCTCATTGTGAGTAATACATATAATTTATCAGCAATCAAGAACCGTCAAGTCTCATCTATGGAAACGCGAATAACAAAGTCTGTATTTGGTGTCTAAGGAAGTGGCCTTTTTGAACTCTAGGAACCTTAGCCACTACACATACTTTGTGGGATGACCACTGTCTCCTCGTCGCTGTCATCGTCCCTCCTGCCCTTCTTCTTGGTTTTGCGTATCCTGACCTCTCTGGCGTTGCATCCTCCACCACCTCCTTTACAGCCACTACCCTCTAGGAAGCAAAACAAGAACAGTCAACCAATGAATGAATAACAGGGAACTAAACAGGGATCAAATCTCTTCAACCACCCAGTAGAAAATACCTGGGCTGAAAAGAGTTTACAGCCCCATGTCTAGTTGATAACCTAACAGACATTTTATAGAGGGATTACAAAGAGGCCTGTACTACCTGTAGTCTTCCTCCTCCTCTCTGCCTCCCTTTTCTCCTTTTTGGAAGGTGCTGTGTTTTCTGTCATCATAGAGCCTTCCTTGAGATCGTCTTCAGTTATCAGGAAAACAGGGTTGTTCTTGACTTCCTGAAAGAGAACAGCATTGAATTGATGACGTGGAGAGGAGACACAGCTATATGTCCCTATCAAAAGACAATCACAGTTTTGGCCCATCAGGCAACTTCATGACAGGTGTGTTTTACCTTCTGAGCTTTATGCTGCATGGCCTCATCAAAGAGAGAGAGACAGTTGCTAATGAACTTCTCGCTGACCACCACAGTGTCTCCCAAGATCCTGGCAGTCGACTGCACGTTGGTCTTTCTCATGGCCTCGTTGATTATGATGCCAACGTCCTCCATGGACAGACAGCTGGGCAGAATGGGCTACATGTCAAAAGTGGGGGAGCACATGGAATACTTTAAGTGAGCAAGGCGGAGTAACTCAAGAAAACGAAGAGATTATTATATTTAAGCAAATTTAAGAAATGATGCAATAAATACATTGGTGCTTTGGCAGAGAATGAAGTACAGGAAGGTGTGTATGGACCTGCACATCTATCCATGTGGCAGAGTTGACAGCCTCCTCCACAGAGGCCTCCACCTGGTCTACTAGGGCCTGGCCTACACATGCTGCCCTAAGGAACAGCAGCTTGCTGGACTTGAAACGTTTCTTGATGTAGCTCACTGGGTCAGGGATGCCAAGTCTGATCAAGGCATCAAACTCTGTGTGGAGGGAACAGAGGGAATGTTTTAGGGTACAAATCACATTTTAGGCAGAATTCCAGTACGGAAATTATGGAAAAAAATATTGCAACAAATAATTGTAGTATAGCCCTTGAATAATTTAAAGGTTAGAGTACCCAAGTATCCATTCTGCTTGAGGAAGGAGTCCACCCAGGTGTTCTGTGTTTTGGAGTAGATGTCAGGGATGTAGACAGCTTTGTCCTGCCGGCCCCCGACCACAGTGCCTTTCAGACGGCCAGTATTCACCAGCTCCTCCAAAACAGCTGGGGAACAACGGACCAAGATGAAAAGTTAGTTGAACGACAGCATGACATAAGTGCATTTGTTTGATTAGGCCTACTCAAAACATTGATTGTACTGTATATGAACACACAGATCAAACCATTATACACCCAAAACACACAACAGCTTGGTTTGAATTTTAACACAACAGAACGAATAGCTACTTACAGTAGAGAAGATGTTCCTGAAAACCATAGACGGCAATCACGTTACTGACTGGTGTTGGCCTACACAAGGAGATCAAATTCATTCATTATTAGGAGCAGGGCGAAAAAAATAAAAGAGAGCAAAAAAGCAAGAGAGGAAAAGATTTGGATGAAACCTACCGAGTCACTGCACTAAAAAGCCCACGGATGCGAGCTCTGTGGCGAGACACGAACGCAGGGGTGAATAAGACTCCCCTGTTGTACTCATCCATCTGGCCATGGATGACTTTCCCAAGGCGCTTCGACAGCTCCTAGGAGACAAAGTGGTTAACATTTTAGATAAGAACTGTGTACATGTCCACAAATGCACCTCAAGCTGAAACCTCAAGCTGAAGACGAAGCACACATACACACTACTGAAAGGAAACATGATTAATTGCACATAGTTTGAGGATGGTATTGGTAAAGATACAGAGGTGGCTCTTTACCTCAGTCAGGAAATCCCCTGGAAGGTCATAGTTTTTACATAGTTCTGGGATGTTCACCAAGCCAGCCTCTTGTAGTTTATCATTCACCTCCTCAGAGACACGATTCAGGTAGTTTCTAGAAGACAGAGGGAAATCAGAACAAATCTGATAGCCCAGTAGTTGACAGTACAACAATGAAAAATATATCATGTGAAAAGGTCCTACTTACTCATCGATCAGCTGCCCCAGCACCAGTTGAACGCTTTTATCAGATCTTGCTATGTCATTTGCTCTAGCCTCAACATGGACCCAATCAACATTGATAATCTGTAAACAAGAATAAATACACATTGTCTGACAGACAATATGGTAAGTGAAATAAAACATATCAACTACAGTGCTGCACACTAGCAAAATGAATTAGTAGTAATGCACACCTTCTGTAGGTCCACAATGTTGACCCGACCTTTAGAAAGCAAATACAAGAGAAAATACATATCACCATCTTTTCCATAACTTTTTGTCCATGTCAATTAATGCAGGTGTATGATAAACCTTGAACATCTATGCAGCCATGAACTGAGATGAGTGCAACACTTGTTTGAAGACAGAGGCATTGAAATCAGAAGGTTGTCTAGCAGCCAACTGACCTCCATGGATGTAGTGCTCATCCCTTATCTCCCTACTGATCTGAGACGGGGTGATGTACTCCTTGCCATCAAGTGTGTGTACCACATCCAACTTCTTCTCTGCAACCAGTTTGGCAACGATTTCAATGCAGTTTCTCTCCGACAACCTGGGAATGAGTTACAGTAGAAGAGGGATTTACACACAGAGACCCTATAAATCAGATCTATATCTAATTCAACTAATTTAAAGGCTTGTGGGTCTCCTGATACAGAGTATCAATGGCTTGCTCTAGCAGCAGTTTCCCAAAGGCCCAGGTTGTTATATTATGGTTTGGAAACTGTGGTAATACAAGATTAGTCCAGCTAAAAACTGCTGCAGGAAGACCGTGGGCACAGATAGCTAGCTACTAGTATAGCTGTCCTGGCTAAATTGGTACAGCCAGAAGTTCAGCCCACCATAGTTTACGTTAGCTCCTACTCCTAGCTTAGCTAGTTCATTTGCTAGCTTCACGTTAACGTTCCATCAGTTAGCAAGATAGCTAGCAATCAATCAATATCCATTGTTGTGCTTAGCGATTTAGCTAGCCAAATAGCTAGGACTGTAGTTATAGATAGCCATTTTGCACTAGCCAGCTTGCATTACCTCTGCACTGTGTCAGCAAACTGTGCTCTCTGAAAATCCGCTGCCAGACGTCTGATTTCTTCCCAGGCGGCTGCCATTGTATTTGTTGGCTTCTAAAACTGTTCAATTGTATAACTGTTTTAGTACAGCTTTGCACGGAGGTAAACTTCAGCTTTATGACTATATTGCCACTACTAGCTAAACCATGTTGTGTAAAGTACAGCAAGGAGGCTAGTGATCCACAAAATCCACACGTCAACATACTACGGAAAGCATGTGAGTCCAAAAAACGCCACCATTTATTCCACCCGTTTTTCCCGCCACACCTCCTCCTTCCTCACTCGTGACGTCACGGAATTCAATTAATCATCATCATCATCATCATCTGACAACTGAACAACACATCTTTGGGAAAACATCAAACAAACACACTTTATTATTGAGTCACACAAAAAACACAATTCTAGTTTGTGAATTTCACTGATTCACACACATTTATTATCAAGCTCAGTTGGTAGAGCATGGCGTTTGCAACGCCAGGGTTGTGGGTTCGATTCCCACGGGGGTTTGAAAAATAAAAAAAATAATGTATGCACTCACCTAACTGTAAGTCGCTCTGGATAAGAGCGTCTGCTAAATGACTAAAATGTAAATGTAATAATGGCCTAATTTCATAAAAACTGCTTGAGAGCAGGAAATGCAAGCTTTCTACAAATGGTTTGATCATCCACTGTTGTAAATTGCTCACTGAAAACCAGCCTACAAACAAATTGGCTTATTGAAAGACGAAATGAATGAACCCTTTGAGCAACCCTTTTTGGTTCCAGGTAGAACCCTTTTGGTTGCAGGTAGAACTCTTTTGGGTTCCATGTGGAACCCTTTCCACAGAGAGTTATACCCGGAACCAAAGAGGGTTCTACCTGGAACCAAAAAAAGAGGTTATCCTATGGGGACAGCCGAACCGAAGAACCCTTTTGGAACAATTTTTTCTAAGAGTGTACAGAAGAGATTACAAGGATGGAAATTCTGCTGAAAAACATGTTGGCAGTTTTCTTAACATCAGGCACGTTCACAGATATAGGTCTACCTGTGCCTGAGCACATTGCCCTCCCACTCGCCAAGTGTCTTTTTGTGTGGTTGTATAATATAGTTGGTCGTAAAGTTCGCCAACCCCACCCCGTCCGTCGGTTGCACCCTACTTTTTATAGTCTATGGTTGCGCATGTTGGTCTGCCCTGGAGCTCGTGCACGATAGGTTGCGCCTGTTTCGCGGTCTGCCCACAGAGATTGCGTGCACCCGGTATCAAACATGCTTGTTTTTAGATGCGTGAGTGTGTGTAGGAAAAAACTACCTATTTTAAATATCAACAGTACTGCAGCTGTCATTTGATTAAAACTTTATTTACATCATTTTGCAGACGCTCTTATCCAGAGCGACTTACAGTTAGTGAGTGCATACATTTTTTTCATACTGCCCCCCCCCGTGGGAATCGAACCCACAACCCTGGCGTTGCAAGCGCCATGCTCTACCAACTGAGCTACACGGGGCCTCATCATCGCTATTCTGTCTGTCTGGTTGGCTGATACGCGCATCAGAGAGAGGCAGAAAGACAGATGAGCAGCAGAGAGAGGCAAGAAACTGGATTCTTCCGCTGCTCTATCGGTGCTTTCATACGGAAGTCCAGAGAGGTCATATTAATAAAACATATATATTTGGAGATCACAACTTAATTATCTCATGATCACTACATAACAAAAGTCTTACATGTGAAACAGCCCACAAGGCAGAATCGTGATTTATGCCTGCCAAGACTAGAGCTCACCCACTCTGGGTTATATGCATCAGTCTATAAAGCGTTGACAGCTGATCTGCCTGCAATGAGGTTTACCTATGAAACAGCACACAAGGCAGCATCCTTATTTCTGAGCCTCTGAGGCTGAAATTGAATCTGATCAGCCTGACTGGAATGGAGCTCACCCACTGTACATTTTAATAGTATCCACAAAACATGAAGTGTCCCTTATAATTATACACATATCAGTTATGCAGCATAGATAACAAGCTAGCTTACTAGACTGCCTAGCTAGCTCACAACACTAGCCAAATTAACTGCGTTATTCCTTGCATGCGATTGGCTGTGGTCTTGGGGGCGGCCTGTCAGGCATGTTCAGGACCCTACGAACGCATTGCGATCAATGCAGCCACAGGTGATGAGTGGGTTATTGAGAGCAGGAAATGCAAGCTTTCTACAAATGGTTTGATCATCCACTGTTGTAAATTGCTCACTGAAAACCAGCCTACAAACAAATTGGCTTATTGAAAGACGAAATGAATGAACCCTTTGAGCAACAGAATGCCAGAATGAAAAAAAAAATGCCAGAATGAAAAAAAAAAAAAATGTATGCACTCACTAACTATAAGTCGCTCTGGATAAGAGCGTCTGCTAAATGACTTAAATGTAAACTCCAGCAACTGTGGAAAGAATCTGGATGTGCTTATGTTCTTCAGCTTTCGTATATGTTTTATGAGATACCATAACATTGAACCCCAACATTGCAGAAGCAAATGAGCTGTCAACCCCAAAACCAAGTGTCAAGGTTATTACAAACTTTATATTCCTTGTGTCTTTTAATGTAATCGCAGGCATGACATGTGTGTTCAGCCCAGAAATGGGACCTCTTGACATTGAAATGTCTGCGCCAGTCAAAATACCGCAGATACATTTCTTCATTTGTATGTAACAGTGTGAGATGGTTAGCCAGCTCTTTGGGAGAGAGGAAATCATCCACATGTATAAAGGCATCTCCAGGCACAAAGTTCTCATAGTTCTGCCTAGGTGGCCCAAGAGCAATTGGCACAGATCCAGCAGCTAGTGGGTTGTACAGCTTTTCAGTGATGTAATCTTTGTGAATTGAGTTCTCAAACGAAAGATAGAATTTACAACTGGATATTGTGTCCAGGAAGTCTTGATCATTGATGTGTTCTCCAAAGGCTTTTCCATAGGTGTGTATCTCTATGTGTTTATGCAATTCATTGTAGTACCACGCTCTGGCATGGTCAGGGTTCCAGTTGCTTACAATCCAGCAGACCAATTTTGTTTTATTTGGCAATACGAAAGCTTCCCCCTCCTCTTGGCTGAATACAACTGACCCATACGGCACTTCAATATCTGCATCTTGCCTATAATTCAAAGTCAAATTGAAAATATTTCCAAGACCTGGGTTTTTATACGTGTGTGACGGGGACTCTAGATTCATCCACACCCACTTTTGGAAAGGTGGGCGCTGCAATGGTGGTAGATTTGATAAATCACTTTTTATGTCTCTATGGTGAAGGATGACCCCACTTGACTTATTGTATAGGTCTCGGTCAGCTGTTAAAAAACAGCCTTCAATATTGAACAGGGGGCTGCATGTGTCCAGATCATAGGACTGGCCAAAAGGCCACAGCCATAATAGAACAATGGTCTTATTATTAACCTCATTTGCTTCCAGATGTTCTTCCTTCTGAATTGGTAGTGTTGATGATGCAAGCCAATTACTTGGCCGTTTAAAATACATGAGGAAAACAGTCACAAAACAGCCTATTGCAATGATTGCAGTCACAAGTCGGTGCATTAAGCTGTTAAAAGTTGCCATCGCCATTTTTGTCCTGTAAAAAAAAAAATAATGTCATTAGTTTGATTCAAAACAATGTTGATGACACTGGTTCAATAATGAAACAAACAATGCAGTAATGTACTGGTTTGGTTCAGTGCATATATTTTCTCAGGTGATATGGATTGTGTATCTTATAGCCTTTTATATCACAAAAACCTGACACTATCTAGTCACAGATGTCCAACATAGAAACAGGTCTACATATTTTAGCTTACTTATGCAAGATCACAATCAATGCATAGGCTAAGATGATGAAATAAGTAGCCTAGAGGTTGATGAATAATGACCTATAACAACTCATTTCATACATGACTAACAAATGGGAACATGGGATAGCTAGAGAAACTCAGAGGATAATCTAATCAATAGGCTGCTGATTCATTATACTACTGCTGCTTGTAGCCTACGTTTTAAAAGGCAATTTACAAACCTTGAGCATCCTGTTCATTCAGCATCTATTATTGGTTGTACTGTAAATTAGGCTACCTGTTTGATGTTGACCAATAGTGCATAACGCTTTTCATATAGGCCTACACTACGCTACTCAAGCAATAGATTATGCACAATAATTAGGCTACATATCTTTAAATCTCACAGTTTACTTCAGAAGTATGTACAAGCTGCCACTGCCTATGAATAACATTCGGGCAGTTAATTCTCCTCTGGACGAGTGCCATGGCTCACTCACGTGCCCCTTCTATTTCTATAGTAGCTTCAGCATTCTATGCGTAAAAAATGTAGCCTATGCTTTGAAGACAGAAGGGTGCCTTTAATAGATTTAGAATATTGTACACATGTATATGCTGGGAATGCTGTTTTAGATCAAGAAAAAATAAAACAATGCCATGCAGCCTAGCCTAGCGGTCTTGTGAGTAGAAAGAGGGGGGCATGCAAGTCCACCTACATGCAGACGTTTAGTTTTACTTTAGAAAATAGCCTAAACATGGCCAATAGCAATATTAACATCATAGGACCTGCCATTACCTGGCACAAACCTAAAACAGGTATACTATCAAAATGTCAATGAACAGTGCTAATAGGCTACAATGCGATTGCTCAATTAACATAAATGACCAACAATTAACACATTAAACAATATAAAGGCAATTTGCATAAACATGGTCGTTTCTAATAATAATGAAAATAGGTGCTACCTACCCTCGAAACTTGAGAAAGCAAATAACCAGAGACGCGAAACCTGTGAGCTTTGAATTTGAGCCACGCCCACGAGTCATATCGCAGCGGAGGTGAGCAGAGCAGGGCCAGGTTGTCGAAACAGACAAACATTTCTAAATAAATGACATGATTAGGCTACCGGACTCTGGCGTCTGATCATAAAAAAGTTTAAGGGATTAGAAATCACATAGTTATAGGTCAACATCATGAGTAATCGACAATTGTGTGCAGAAAATTAAGCCTAGGCCTTTTGTGTGGGGAGAAAAGGGACCGAATGTCCAGCACAGGCCTATTATTAGCCTTCTTCATTTATTTACATTAATACATTTATCTACATTAATACATTTATCAACTGAAGTGAATTCGCTTTTAATTTGGGTATCTATCTGGTTCCTCCAGGTCAGGAAAAACAACCTGTTGACTGGCATGGCTCATGTAGGCCCTATATAAACCACAGTGGTGGTGAGCAGATA